CAGCCAGACAAAGGTATTATAAATGGGGTCACTCTCTCTTATGTCCTGTTGAGATGCCTGAGGTGTCGGACAGTATTGTTCTACTTATCTTGCATGGCTTCAGTCAGTAATGAGTACTAGCATTTCCAATTAGCAGCTTATTAGCAGACTCTATTCCTGTGTTTTATGATTAATTTGTTGTTTTGATTCCTGTTGGAATTGTTGCAGTTTTATTATTGTTATTTAAATATCAAACAAATATTTTATTTCTTTATTATCAATAATAATTAATCAATACTAGTATCATTGATAAATGAACTTCCACTCTGGTTCTTTAACTCTTTATAAGACAACACTTTTCCACCATCCATGTTTTTCCATGTTTTCACTGTTTTACGGTAAGGGGACACTATTACACATCCTCTGAAAGAGTACAGAATCTTCTCATCAAAACACAGTAGAAGAAGCAGAAAAAAGTGATAGAAGCATTGATTACGCTAACGCAATCATCAAACAATAATGTTACTCTAACGGGGTTTGTTGTTTTGGGAAGAAGGCGGGAACCGGCGAACATTCAAGAATAATAAAATAAACAAATACAAAATGAAAGTAAAGCCAGCAGCCCCTCATGGAAGACTTCTAGCCACAGAAACCAAACTCAACATAAAATAAGGCCTGTTCCTCTCTCTCTCTCTCTCTCTCTCTCTCTCTGCACTATCGTCACTCCTCCTTCATGCTCCTGCTCCGTGAGAGATGCGAGACCGGTGCGTCCCACAGGTGTCGCTCATTACCACTCCCGCCACGTGTCTTGCTCGCCACAGTTACCTAATGAAATGCCGAACGTGCAAAGAGGCAACGGCTATGAAGCTTTGGGTTGATGAAATCTTCACTGGAAACTGAAGGAAAGGCTAAATGTTAACACTTGGAATCCTTGCACTTGAAAAGTTGACACCATTATGACTAAAAGTTTACTTAGCTGTACTTCCTACTAAAGCATGGTAGTATTTGACTCCAGTAAGGCTCAATCCCAATTCACCCCTTGGCCCTACCCCTTGTTTTCGAGTGTACCCATTGGCCCTTAAAACAGAGTTACAAGGGCAAAGGGGTTGAAATATTACCCTACGAAATGGAACAACCCTTCATGAACCCGATATGTCATCAGTCGTCGACGATGGCTTTGCCGTTACAGAGTTTTTACAGGATTTCTCGAAGACAACGACTGACAATCAGCGCAGCTGCTCTTAACTTTGAATAAACATGATGATTATATCTTTCCTTCCTCAAAATGTAGGCCTTTTCTGATCGGAAAGGTAATTTATTATACCATTTCTTAATTTAAATGACTATAGCGTTATTATAAGGGTAAATAAAGTGCGTGGTGGAATCATCTGGTGCTAAATTTAAATGTTTAACCGTTTGCGAAGCCATCTCGTCTGTGATTTGCGATGCATTCAGTGAACTTTCTCGTAGCCCTCCTTTTGGAGTGTGCCTCTGAAAGATCTCTGTGTCGAGGGCTATGTAGCCCTACCCCTTGATCTCAACAAGAATCGGGACACCCTAGTCGTGAACGTGCAAAACGGGGGGGTAGGGGCAAGGGGTGAATTGGGATTGAGCCTAAGTCTATCCATAGCAGACTGGTGGGAATGGCTTTGGACGGCAACATGGCCAGGGCATTATGAGTGTTTAAGTTTTCCTACCTATTTGGAAAAGGCAAGATAACAACCTTCTCTAGTCAGGTTTTTTCTGTCTTTTATACAACATAGGAAACCAGGTTTTATTAAAAGCCATTTTGCAAGCGGTGAAGTCCCTTTATGTCATATTGAACTAGCAGGTGCAAGAATATCGTCCTCCACTACCAAAATGACACAGCAGTGACAGTGGGAATTCGCACTCAAATATGTCCAGCAGGGTTTTATCGCCAATGCCTGGAATGCATTGTTGGGTTCTGCTGGGTCAATACTTCTCTGAAGATCATTTAACTTGACTTTGTTCAGCAGGGATTTGGGAATGAGGCAGTCGATGGCGGCTCAGCTCAGCCTTCCTGAGACATCAGACTCATTCCATCAAGACTTCAAAGACGTTTTCAATTGGGCATGTGAAACATTCATGTGTCTGTTTTTGTAATGAGAGCTGAACGTGTGTGCTGCGGCATGTTGGGTAACATGAGGATTAGATTGGACACATTGTTGGAGATGGATGCCTCTCTGTGTTTGTCTATGCGCTGATGGGACTCGCGCTAATGTAATAAAGCTAGAGGCCAGAGCTGTGTTTGTAAGGCTACACGGCATGCTGGGAAATGCTCTCAAGGTGCAGTAATGGAAGGTTGTTTTCTTTTTAGCTGGTTGACTGGTGTGCAGATTGATTCATACTCAAACAATTTAAGCAGTTCTCTGTCTATTAAAAGATTAGATAAGATAAGAAGTAGTGATCGATCGATACATTGGCAAAACTGGTTTTAACTTCTTAACTTGTATCGCAACATCTTTTTTATTTTGAAATATTGCACAGCCCACTATAGTAGGATTGCAGAATCAAGAAGTTGTCATCTAAACTAAAGTATGAATCTGTTTATGTTACAGAATTGTTTTAAGTGTAAATTGGAGATTACATTTTTCACGAAGATAATGCAATACGGTTACTAAACATAAAGATAAGAACTGCCCACCATTGTTTTTATGTTTTTTTTTTATACCAAAATGCTGAAAATAATATGAAAAGTTAGGACTTTTTACACCCCCCTCACTTCCACTAGGCTGGGCGTGACGTCATAGAAGGGACTTCAAGCCTAGAGTTCCCGTTAGTCTAACGGCAAGTAGGCCAGCAATTATATAGAAACGTTTTTTAGATTCAGAAGTGATGAATGAAATAACTCAATTGTAAACATACTCGTCTGTGCTGGCTTCAAGAGTGATCCTGCCTGAAATGAGAGTAAGCTATTCGCAAAACAAACGGGTTCAGGCAGCATGCGTCAAAACTAGGATGTGCTGCGCGAGGCACGTCAGATTTGCCGGTCGCGGGTCAAAAACGCGTTCACCTCACGGCAGCACATACTCTCCACTGCTGATTCCATTGGGTGGCATAGCCCCCACACAAACACCTGTCAAACACAGCGATAGGGAAACCGATCTCTTTTTTTCTTTTTGACAATATCATGTTCTGTCAGCAGATACCAGCAAAAGCACCATTGTGCCTGTGCAGTGTTTGCATCTCTACAGCTCTGATTAGGACTACTAACACCAAGTAAATAATGTCTTCAGTCGTTGTCCCTCCTTGCTATTCTACATGACGACAAGATTTTGAAAAGATAGGCAAATTGATAAATTGTAAGGCTGTCATCCATCAAGAATTTGATGGTTTCCCACCGCCTCAGTCTCCCAGTCGTTCTCCATAGTGAAGCCACAGACAGTAGGAATCTAGCAGAGTATGGGTTGCTACTCCCTCTTATGACCTCATCAGCCAGTTACTGTAAAAAATATAGTACATTTGACACCCCAATAAATGTTATTTTAACGCTTTTGAAGATAGAAATGCTTAAATATACATAGTGAGCACTTTAAATTACACATTATTGGGTTGTGGTGGTTAACCTGAAATTTACACTTTAAAGGTGCCATCTGGAACTAAAAATCAAAAAATATTCCATATTCCATAACAGATGGGGGCAGTATACCTCCAGAAAATGTGTTGTGCCGCTGCCGCACGCACTCACGTCTTCAAACAACACAAACGAGCGCTGTTTTGCTCTCTTTCTCCGCATATTTTTCAAATCATTTGACACGATAGTAAAAGGTCGGAAGACCGCAGTTTCACGTGGAGCATTTGGAGATTTTTAGAGATCAGAGACTAAATGAACAACATCTCAACAATAAATGATGAAGACCGACTCATAGACGCCTGTCTCAAAAACAAGCTGTTTAGTTGCATTTCGACGATATGGGAAAATAAAAGCCTGCAGGCTATTATTTTAAGTTTACGGTATTCGTTTTGTTCATATTACACTTTTATTGTTAGTTTGAATTAATTTGACTGACAGCATTCGCTGCTGCCAGCTCTCACGAATTCACCGTGAGACACATGCAATTAACACTTAGCAAGCAGGTTAGTTAAGCTCTCAGATTCTGTCAATTTTATTATGCAATTCAAACAATAAATACCGTTTTGGCGCTTGTACATGTTACACCACAGATCCCTAGCGTACGTGAACCGATCATCTCTACTAGCTAATGGAAAAAGAACCCGAACACTGTTGAAAGATACAGTATGCTACAACTTACCAAAATGTATTCCTCATGCATAATGTCAACCAATCATTTTTTGAACTCTTCCCTGAACTGAAATGTAGTAATGGGCTGTATTTCCACACGACTGACATTAGGTTTAAGTACACACACAAGCCGGCGCGAGCGCGACTCACTCGTGTAGTGCAGTTTGGCTGGTGGTAACGTTGCCCGGCCGCATACCGCCTCCCATGGCCGGAACTGGTATTACGACACCTGCCGGGCCGGGGCTAGTAATTTAGCATGCTAATTTAGGTTTATATCTCGGCAGCACTATAACTTGTCAGTTTTTTAATTACATCATTGCACTTATTTCTTCTCATTCTTTTGATGCGTGTAGCTCATTTTTTGGATATTTTTACCTTAATTATTACATATGGCACCTTTAATGTAAAAAAAAAAATTCATATAATTTAGTTTTTAAATGAATTCTTTCTAATTTTGTAAAAAATAATGTAAAATAAATATGAATTTAATTTCAACGGTTGTTATGGATGTATTATTGCTACATTTAAATTAAATAGTGTGATATCATATCATATTGGCTATATATAAATATTGGCCATCAAAAAAATCAATATCAGTCGACTGCTATACAGAAGGTTTTCATGCTAGCACGTTTAATCTTGCACAGGAACCATTGAGGTTTGTTCTCGCTCATCAAGCTAGTTCCGTTCACCATGTTTGATTCTACCAGTATGTTTGGCACAGTGTTTATTTTGTTCTTCTTCTGTCTCTCCCCAGAAGGCTGCGTGGAGGACTGCTCCGAGCGCTCCTGAGGTGGGATCTGTCGGCAGGTGTGTCAGCGGGCTGGCTCCTCCCCCTCCCGGCGGCAGCCTGCGCTCTCAGCCGCCCCCTTGCAGCCCCCGCTCGCCAGGCCTGCGCGCCCGAGCCCATGCTCCCAGCTCAAACGCCATGTGTGTCCCGCACACGATGGAGGCGGGCAAGCACAGCGCTAGCCAGGGGCCGGGCAGCCGCGACGGGGTTCCCCTGGAGCCCTTCATACACCAGGTGGGCGGCCACACCAGCATGATGCGTTATGATGACCACACCGTCTGCAAGCCACTCATCGCCCGCGAGCAAAGGTTTTACGAGTCCCTGCCACCGGAGATGAAGGAGTTCACCCCGGAGTACAAAGGTAAGATGGAGGAATGCGCAATGCACTCATCTTAGATTGAGGTTTTTTTCTAGTGAGCTGAAACTGTGACACAGTAACTGTTTTTATTAGCACACCACACTGAAGCACAACATGTTCAGTGCTCTCAACTGCATTCTGTAACTGAACTCGCACTTGTAGGTGTTCGACTCGCTACCGTATTCGGTGACTGAACTCACACCTGTAATGGCTCGTTTCCACTGAGGGGTACGGTACGGTACAGTACAGTATGGGTCGGGTCGGTACACCACGACGAAGAAAGCGACATAGTAAACAACAATGGATGACAGACAGCAGATCTTGTTCTTGCTTCTCGGCATGTTTGTCACTAGAAACAAGTGCTGGCATTAGGCGTTTCTCAATACCAAGTAGCCTACGCAAAGTCCGACTCAGGAGAATGATCCCGAGGACGCGAGTCCAGTAATTCTGCTAATGGAACAGCGCGTTCTTGAACGATTACTACTCCGGTTATCTCTGTTTGTATATTTTAGGCAACAATAAAACGAAATATGTTATATAACACCACTCTGTGATTTCATTTCAATACATTATAAACATTAAGCACACAAATGTGGTTCAGGCAACACAGCCAATTGATTATATTCACTGCATGTATGTAACGTTATATTTATAACCAAACTAAATATAAAACACAACCCTGCCCCTTTTCGTTTAAATTTAAAAATATTAAACATATTCCAGGCAATATGTAATGTATTGCATATCTTATTGGTATAAATGTTGCAATAAACAACATTAGCCTACAGATGATCTTGTAATAAAATAAAAAAAATGACAAAACTATTCTTTTTGTTGAACTTCAGTTTTATCAATAATAATAGCCATTATAAACTATAAGTAAAAGTTACAAAAAGATATACAGTAAAGCTTTAATAACATACTGTAAAGAAACAATTCAGTCAGTCAAATACAAATTCAGCACTCACACAGGGAACGAATTATAGATTCACGAGACCAAAGATCACCTGTTAGGTTTATACAAGACGAACTATATCTCATGTTTAACCACTACAGAGACGTCCGAGTCAGCGGCAAACATCAGAACGACTAGCCGAGGAAATGCTGTTCCAGGCGGGGTACACGAGCGCGAGCGTACGGTGTTTGCTTGGAATGGATCTCTGTCAAATTATCATAAATCTATAAATAAACCACAGATTTGAGCTTTAAAAAACTACTTTCTCGCCTGAAAACTCTTAAAACTACATTTTGTGACACAATAACAGTAGTATTATATTTCAACTGTATGCTTCTAATGCCCTTGTAGCACGAGCAAGTGACGACACTCTGTCAACTGATCACCGTTCTGCAGTGAGTCTAGCTCCACCTTTTAGTACCTTTTTACTGTGCTAGGTACCCCAACGGAAAGGTACCCAAAAAGTGTTACGGTACGGTTCGGCTTTTTGGTAACATTCACAACTTTTGACAGTGGAAACGCAAATAATTGCGTACCGAACCGAACTGTACCGTCCCGTACCACTCAGTGGAAACGAGCCATAAGTGTTCAGGACTCAATACCGTATTTTGTAACTGAACTCATACCTGGCGGGGGACAAAAAGATATACAGTATCTTTTTCACTACCATATTCTGTAACTGAACTCACACCTGTAAGTGTTCGGGACTCGCTACCGTATTCTGTAACTGAACTCACACCTGTAAGTGTTCAGGACTCACAACCGTATTCTGTAACTGAACTCACACCTGTAAGTGTTCGGGACTCGCTACCGTATTCTGTAACTGAACTCACACCTGTAAGTGTTCAGGACTCGCTACCGTATTCTGTAACTGAACTCACACCTGTAAGTGTTCAGGACTCGCTACCGTATTCTGTAACTAAACTCACACCTGTAAGTGTTCAGGACTCGCTACCGTATTCTGTAACTGAACTCACACCTGTAAGTGTTCGGGACTCGCTACCGTATTCTGTAACTGAACTTACACCTGTAAGTGTTCAGGACTCACAACCGTATTCTGTAACTGAACTCACACCTGTAAATGTTCGGGACTCGCTACCATATTCTGTAACTGAACTCACATCTGTAAGTGTTCTGGACTCGCTAACGTATTCTGTAACTGAACTCACACCTGTAAGTGTTCAGGACTCTCAACCGTATTCTGTATCTGAACTCACACCTGTAAGTGTTCAGGACTCGCTACCGTATACTGTATCTGAACTCACACCTGTAAGTGTTCAGGACTCGCTACCGTATACTGTATCTGAACTCACACCTGTAAGTGTTCAGGACTCACAACCGTATACTGTATCTGAACTCACACCTGTAAGTGTTCAGGACTCGCTACCGTATACTGTATCTGAACTCACACCTGTAAGTGTTCAGGACTCTCAACCGTATTCTGTATCTGAACTCACACCTGTAAGTGTTCAGGACTCGCTACCGTATACTGTATCTGAACTCACACCTGTAAGTGTTCAGGACTCTCAACCGTATTCTGTATCTGAACTCACACCTGTAAGTGTTCAGGACTCTCAACCGTATTCTGTATCTGAACTCACACCTGTAAGTGTTCAGGACTCGCTACCGTATACTGTATCTGAACTCACACCTGTAAGTGTTCAGGACTCTCAACCGTATTCTGTAACTGAACTCACACCTGTAAGTGTTCGGGACTCGCTACCGTATTCTGTAACTGAACTCACACCTGTAAGTGTTCAGGACTCTCAACCGTATTCTGTATCTGAACTCACACCTGTAAGTGTTCGGGACTCGCTACCATATTCTGTAACTGAACTCACACCTGTAAGTGTTCAGGACTCACAACCGTATTCTGTAACTGAACTCACACCTGTAAATGTTCGGGACTCGCTACCATATTCTGTAACTGAACTCACATCTGTAAGTGTTCTGGACTCGCTAACGTATTCTGTAACTGAACTCACACCTGTAAGTGTTCAGGACTCTCAACCGTATTCTGTATCTGAACTCACACCTGTAAGTGTTCAGGACTCGCTACCGTATACTGTATCTGAACTCACACCTGTAAGTGTTCAGGACTCGCTACCGTATACTGTATCTGAACTCACACCTGTAAGTGTTCAGGACTCACAACCGTATACTGTATCTGAACTCACACCTGTAATGGTTCAGGACTCGCTACCGTATACTGTATCTGAACTCACACCTGTAAGTGTTCAGGACTCTCAACCGTATTCTGTATCTGAACTCACACCTGTAAGTGTTCAGGACTCGCTACCGTATACTGTATCTGAACTCACACCTGTAAGTGTTCAGGACTCTTAACCGTATTCTGTATCTGAACTCACATCTGTAAGTGTTCAGGACTCGCTACCTTATACTGTATCTGAACTCACATCTGTAAGTGTTCAGGACTCACAACCGTATTCTGTATCTGAACTCACATCTGTAAGTGTTCAGGACTCGCTACCGTATACTGTATCTGAACTCACACCTGTAAGTGTTCAGGACTCTCAACCGTATTCTGTATCTGAACTCACACCTGTAAGTGTTCAGGACTCGCTACCGTATACTGTATCTGAACTCACACCTGTAAGTGTTCAGGACTCTCAACCGTATTCTGTATCTGAACTCACATCTGTAAGTGTTCAGGACTCACAACCGTATTCTGTATCTGAACTCACACCTGTAAGTGTTCAGGGCTCGCTACCGTATACTGTATCTGAACTCACACCTGTAAGTGTTCAGGACTCTCAACCGTATTCTGTATCTGAACTCACATCTGTAAGTGTTCAGGACTCGCTACCGTATTCTGTATCTGAACTCACATCTGTAAGTGTTCAGGACTCACAACCGTATTCTGTATCTGAACTCACACCTGTAAGTGTTCAGGACTCGCTACCGTATACTGTATCTGAACTCACACCTGTAAGTGTTCAGGACTTGCTACCGTATTCTGTAACTGAACTCACACCTGTAAGTGTTCAGGACTCGCTACCGTACACTGTAACTGAACTCACACCTGTAAATGTTCAGGACTCACACAACTGTATTCTCGGAAACCGGTGTAAACTGCGCCTATTGTGAGTACGGCCTAACATTGGTTTTGTTGTTTCACAGAACCAAGATATCCTGTTGTTGTGATGTTAGCTGTAGTAACAGGACAGTTTTGACTGCCATTGTTTGTCTGGAGGTGCTGTGCTGCTGCTGACTAACAACCAACTCTTGCTTCTTTATATTCCTGTGTACCCTTGTGGAAAAATAGTATATTTAAGCACTCAGTCAAAGCCCCTTTAAAACACCTCTCCTATCTTTTTGAATGGGGAAACATCAAATTCTCTAAAACTGTTCACCATGCTTACGATTAAATTTCATATTTGAAATCACCAATGAAATCTGACAACAACTGTCTCATTAATTATTTTTCTAAAGGCTCAAATTACAACAGTTATCAGGCTGGATCAAGCTAATGCAGGATGAAAGTGTGCATCTGACTGTTTCTGTCATGATTCTGCCTTCTTGTCCTTGAATTCCTCTAGTCGTGAGGCAGGATCATGACAGGATCATGTTTTGTGTGCAAGCGCATGGCCTGTTTGGGCCATGTGCTTGTGTTGTCTCGTTAAGTTACCCCGCCCCCTTGTTATCCTCGTCTAGTGCTTCATTGTCTAGTCAGCTTCACCTGTCCTCGTCATTAGTGTTCCCTATTTTATCCCCTTGTGTTTGCTGTCCTGGGTTGGTTCATTGTTTGACGTTGCATGTTTCAAGCTGTGAGTAATTCTTTGAGTAAGCTATTATTTGAGAAGAGTCTGTTCTTGTTGTAGTTTTGTTCCTGTCTTAGTTTCAAGTCTTAGTCTGGTGTGTTCTACCCTGCCTTGTTTTGCCCCCTCGTGGGTTTTATTTTTCCTGTTTGTCACAAATAAACCCTTTGCACATCATCTGCTGTCTGCTATTGGGTTCATCAGCCATCCACATAACAGAATGAACCGACCAACAAGAGACCCAGCAGACAGCAAGCCTATTTATCCTA